GCACTAGCAAAGACTCTAAGTATTATATTGAATAGATACAGAGAGAATGGACGGCCTTGTTTTGTTCCTGATTTTGGTGGGATTGCTTTGTGTTTCTCCCCATTTAAGTTGATGCAAACTATATGAGGCATGTCCCTTGTATCCCTAATTTCTCCCTGACTTTTATCTTGAAGGGGTGTTGGATTATGTCAAATTCCTTTTCTGTATCTAATGGAATGATCATGTAGTATTTTTCTTTCAGTTTGTTTACATAGTGAATTACATTGATAGATTTTCATACATTGAGTCATCTCAATGTATCTCTGAGATGAAGTCTACTTAATTATGGTAAATGATCTTTTAGATGTGTTCTTGGATTTGTTTTGAAAGTATTTCATTGAGAATCTTGCAACTATGTACATAAGGGAAATTGATCTGTAATTTTCTTTCTTTGTTGCATCTTTATGTGGTTTGGGCATCACTGTGGCTTCATAGAATGAATTTGGCAATGTTCCTTCAGTTTCTATTTTGTGGAATAATTTGAGGAGCATTTGCGTTATTTCTTCTTGGAATTTTTGGCCCTGGGCTTTTATTGATTCTGGGTTTTCAATGACTGTTTCTATTTCACTAGTTTTTAGGTCTGTTTAAATTGCTTATCTGATCTTGATTTAACTTTTGTAAGTGTTACCCTTCAAGAAAACTAACTATTTCTTTTAGATATTCCAATTTTTGTGGTATACAGGTTTTTAAAAAATATGCCATTATGATTCTCTGGATTTCCTCAGTGTCTGTTGTTATGTCCCCATTTTCATTTCTGATTTTGTTAGTTTGGCTATTCTCTCTGTCTTTTAGTTAGTTTGGATAAGGGTTTTTCTTTTTTGTTGATTTCTAAAGGACCAACTGTTTGTTTCATTGATTTTTTATTGTTCTCTTTGCTTCTTTTTTTTATTGATTTCATCTCTCAGTTTATTTATTGCCATTTACTTCTCTGACTGATCACTCCTCTTCTTTATGTTCTAGAGCTTTCAATTGTGTTGCTTAGTAGATAGTATGATATATCTCCAAGGTGTTTTTTTTGTGTGTGTGTGTGTGTGTAGGTACTTAGTGCTATGAACTTACTCTTAGAATAGCCTGTCACTGTGTCCCATAAGTTTGTCTTTGATCAGAAACCACATGAGGCCTCACACCATCTGCAATGAGATCCACTGCCCTCTTCTGGCCTGAAGGCATACGTGCAGACAAAACACTTATACATAATAAATAAATCTGTTTTTAAAAGTTGGGGATGTTCAGTGTTCGTTTTAATTCTTTTCCAAGAAGTCTTTAATTTTTTCTTTATTTATTTTTTCATCCAGTAGAGAGTCCTTCAGTTTCCAGGAGTTGGTGATCTTTCTGGTTTTTTGTTGTTGATGTGCAGAGAAGAAATTATATTCTTTATTTTTGGGTGGAATAGTCTGCAAATATCTGTTAGGTTCATTTGGTTTATAACATATGTTAGTTCCAGTATTTCTCTGTTTAGTTTTTGTCTGTATAACCTATTTGTAAGAGCAGAGTACTGAAATCTGCCTCTGTAAGTGTGTGAGGGTCAATATGTGGTTTTAGCTATAGTAGTGCTTCTTTTACAAACTTGGTTACCCTTTTGTTTGGGGCATACATGATAAGAATTGAAATGTCATCTTGGTGTATTTTTCCTTTGATGAGTATGTAGTGTCCTTCTTATATATTTTGATTAGTTTGGGTTTGGTATATCTTTATAGATACTAAAAAGTCCACACCAGCTTGCTTCTTAGGTTCATTTGCTTGAAATATATTTTCAAACCTTTACTCTGAGATGATTATTATCCTAGATGTTGAAGTATGTTTCTTTTATGCAACAGAGTTTTCCTTCTCCCACCTTCTATAGAACTGGATTAGTATATAGACATTTTTAAAATTTGATTTTATCATGGGATATCTCATATTTACTGTTTATGGTGATTGAAAGCTTTTCTGGGTACAGTAATCTGGGTGTCATCGGAGTCTGCAGGACATCTTTCCAGGCCACTCTAGCTCTTAGATCCTCCACTGAGAAGTCAGGTGCAGTTCCAATAAGTCTGATTTTATGTTACTGGTTTTTTCCCTGGCAGCTTTTAATATTCTTTCTTTGTTATATATGTATAGCATCTTGATTATTATGTAGCAAGGGCACTTTCTTTTCTTGTCCAATCTATTTTTTGTACTTTTTTAGGCATATCCTTCTTCAGGTTACCAGAATTTTATTTTATGAGCTTGTTGAAGGCATTTTCTGGGCCTTTTATCTGGGATTATTTTCCTTTCTCTATTCCTATTGTTCTTAGGTTTCATCTTTTCATAATGTCCCAGATTTTTCTGGATATTTTGTATCAGGAAATTTTTAGAGTTAACATTTTCTTTGACCAACGTCATTTCTTCTATGGTATCTTCAGTGTCTGAGATTCTCTCTTCCATCATTTTTACTCTGTTGGTGAAGCTTGCCTCTGTAGTTCGTGTTTGAATTCCTAAATTTTTCATTTTTAGAATTCTCTTAGTTTGTGTTTTCTTTATTACTTTTGCCTTAGTCATTGTCTATTGTTGTGAAGAGAAACCATGACCACAGCAACTCTTATAAAGGAAATAAAGGAAAACAATTAATTGGGACTTTCTTTCTTTCTTTCTTTCTTTCTTTCTTTCTTTCTTTCTTTCTTTCTTTCTTCTTCCTTTCTTTTGTCTTTTTTTTTAATCTTCCAGGTTAGAGTCCATCAGGGAAGGAAGTCAAGCAGGAGCTTGAAGCCACAGAGGCACACTGCTTACTGGCTTTCTCAATTTTCTTATACAACATATGACACATACCCAGGGGTGGCACCACTTACAGTGAGCTTGGCCCTTTTTATCAATTATCATTCCAGAAAATGCCCCTACAATGTTCTGCCTGCATGTATCCCTGCAGGCTGGAAGAGGGCACCAGATCTCATTATAGATGGTTGTGAGCCGCCATGTGGTTGCTGGGAATTAAAATCAGGAACTCTGGAAGAACAGTCAGTGTTTTTAACCTCTGAGCCATCTCGCCAGCTAATTGGGGCTTTCTTATAGTTTCATAGGTTTAGTTCATTAGCAACATGGTGGGCAGCATATGCTGGTGCCATGCAGGCAGACATGGTGCTGGATAGGAAAAGAGAGTTGGACATTTGGATCCCCAGATAACAGAAAGAGAGAGTCCCTGAGATTGCTTGGTGTTTTGAAACCTCAAAGCCCACTTCCAGTGACATACTTACTTCATAAGTCCATATATCCTAATAGTGCCACTCTCTGGTTATGGGGCATTTAAATCTATTACCAATGGAGGTCAATTCTTATTCAAAACACCACAGCTTCTATTTCCATTTTCAGGTGTTGAACATCTTTTTTCCATTTCCTTCAGCTGTTGGTGTTTGCTTTCTCCAAGGGAATTATTCATTTTCCAGTGGTTTGTTTGTGTTTTCATGGATTTTTTAAGGGGATTTATTCATTTCATTTTAAGGGCCTCTATTATCTTCATATAGTTGGTTTTAAGTCTTTTTCCTTGTGCTTTAGCTATTTTGGAACATCCAGGGCCTGCTGTGATAGGATAAATGGGCTTTAGTGGAGATATATTGTCCTGATTGTTATTGATTGTGTTTTATTCTTTTGTCCAGCCATCTGGGTTTCAGGTGATTATAGGTATAGGTGCTGATTTCTGGGTTTGTCTTTGTTAGGTGGGTGTTTTGTTCCTTGATTTCTGTTTTCTCTCTTGATTTTCAGAGAATATGATGGATGTGTGTTGCCTTTTTTGCTGGCCTGAGCAGCTGGTGTGATCACAGGGAATGTCTGCTGGTGTTGGAGGCTGGTGTGATCACAGGGAATGTCTGCTGGTGTTGGAGGCAGGGATTCTGGGATGAGCTAGGGGAAAGAAGTTTGGAGGAGAAGATCTTTGTGAGCTTTTGCAGAGGGTCAGAGAGGGAAGGGAGACTGCAGCTGGTTTCTGCTACAGAGTTGAGGGCAGGGGTTGGATCTCAGGGGCGTTAGGAGAGGTGTGGGTCCACCTTCAGCCTACTTGTTGACCCGGGCTGCTTACAAATCTTAAGAGAACTTCTTTGGCAATAAACTTGCTTAACTTTCGTGATTAGACATTTCACTGAACCACATCCTAAATTTTGATTTCATGCTTTTTCAAAATAATCTGAAAAATTTAATCAACATTGTAATAAGCAGAGTTCCCAACATGTTAGCACATTTAAAACTTCTAGCTAATTGTAGGGAGTGTAAACTTTTCTGACACTATGACATTGTCACTTTTTGCCAGCAGCAGAATGTAACACATTGATTTATAATCTCAAATAGAGTGTATGATTTAAATTCAAATTTCTGTAAGTGCATATTGAAGTTCCTTGACTTGTGAGAAGAATCTTTTGATGGCACTTCTATTTTTAATTCGATAAATTTATATCATGTGCCAGAATGGAATAAAACTGAAAGCTATGATTTCACAGCCTTCAACTTTGGCAAAGCATTAAAAAAATCATAAAGGGAAATGACTTATTTGATTAGGTTTGTCTTGTAAAAAAATTTTTTTTTTACAGGAAAGTGATTTGAAAAGTACTTCTTGAGCTTAAAAGACTGTACCTGTGAAAATATTTGTGTTGAAGTGTTCACACGTTTCAGGAAAGGGATTGTCATTGATAATATGCTCTATTAGACACGAATTATAATGACTTTACAAAACCTCTCAGAACCAATAGCGAGATTTCTTAACACCTTATGGATTTCAGAGAAACATTCTGTGTAGTTGTCAGTAATTTCAAAACATTGAAGATAAATGAAGACAATTTCATGAAAACAACTATAAAATAATAAGATTATACAAATAAATTATTTAGAAAAATACCAAGTTGTGGAATTAGAGACAATTTGCTTTTAAGAAATGATGACTAGGGGAGCAGCTTTGGAGGTCCCGTAGATCTGGAGACCTGGGGCCTCCTCTCTGTTAGCTTCCCTCCGCTTCTCTCCAGCCTCAGCCTTTGGGACCAGCTCCTCGCTGCCCTCTGCTCCTAGGACCAGCCAGCACCATCTCTTTGTGGTTAGCTCCACACAGCGGATCAGCCATTACCTCCCAGATTCCTCAGAATTACTCCACCGAAGTGGACGCTGCCATGAACCATCTGGTCAACCTGCACCTGCGGGCCTCCTACACCTACCTCTCTCTGGGCTACTACTTTGATCGGGATGATGTGGCTCTAGAGGGTGTGGGCCACTTCTGCGAACTGGCTGAGGAGAACCACGAGGGTACCCAGCGTCTCCTCAAGTTCCAGAACAACCACCGCGGCTGCACACTCTTCCAGGATGTTCAGAAGCCATCTCTAGATGAGTCCGGTAAAACCCAGGAGGCCATGGAAGCTGCCTTGTCCCTGGAGAAGAACCTGAACCAGGCCCTCTTGGATCTTCATTCCCTGGGTTCCGGTCGCACAGATCCTCATCTCTGTGATTTCCTGGATGAGGAGGAGAAACTCATCAAGAAGATGGGCCACCACCTGATCAACATCCGCAGGGTGGCTGACCCCCAGCCAGCGCAGACTGGTATGCAACAGCCTTCTCTGAGCGGGTATCTCTTTGAGCGGCTCACTCTCAAGCATGATTAGGAAGGAAGCCTCGCCTTCCAAGGGGCTCCCTCTGCTTTGCACCAGCCAGCCTCAGGACCTTCACCCCAACCTCTCAAGCCACTAGGCAGCTTTGTAACCGCCCTGGAGCCCCTCTCAGGTCTTGGACCAAGAAAAAAATAAAGCTTTTGAAACAGAAAAAAAAAAAAAAAAAGAAAGAAAGAAAGAAAAAGAATGACTAGGAAGATAGCTTTCATTTATTTGTTAATTTTATATAGTCAATATGAAATTTTAAAATTTTGTTTTGTGAATGTGTCTGTGCTATTTTAGTATTTAAGAAAATTTTATTTTCAAAAATAGTGTTAGGTAGTAGTATTTGAAGAGATAGTTAAAATATTAATTATTAATATTAGCTAGCAGTATAATGCTAATAGCTTGTTGGTCATTGATGTTTTTAAAATGTGATTTAAAATATATTAATGATTTGATTTCCTCAAGGGACTCTAAGTTTTGGTGATTGCTTGTATGATCTACAAAGACAAGACAAGGAGAGAAAGTCCTTAGTCTTGAGACCCGTCCTTGACCAACTAAGCAGTAAGTCTGCCAGTTCTATACCCAATCGGCATTTGTTTGTTTGTTTTTGCTTTGTTTCTTTCCTATTCTGTCTACACCCTTTACTTTTGAGTGTTAGTTGTTTAGTCACTGCTACATTTTTATAATTAGTAACTAGGTCATGGTGCCAAAGCACCTTGTTTTGACCTTGGGAGCCTTCCTTGACAAGTGTTATCTCAGAAGTCCATTGGCTTGGTTTTCTTCAAGGAGACTTGGTTTTGGGTCTGTTGATTCCATACTGGCTAGTGGTTTTCATAGCCTAAAAATTTTCTTTTCTAAGAATTACATTAAAAGTGTGTGTGTGTGCTCTGTGGTTTGTTGGCACACATGTCTTAGAGTATATGTGGAAGTCAGCAGACAGCTTTCAAAAGTCAGTTCTTCTCTTGTACCATGTAGGCTTGAATTGCTGAACTCCCATCATCAAACTTGGCAGCTAGTGCTTTTGTGTGCTGTGCTGTTTTTCGAGTCCCATGGCTAGTTTTCATCATTATCAATTTAAAACATATTCATTGTGCATTTGTCTCCAATAGAATAAATATTTGGTAACTTTTCTCGTAGTGATAAGATGAACTGAGTTGTACTCCATTGTTAATGTAAAGGAGACAGTCAGATCAATACCTGTTAGTATTTTACCTTGTGAAAATATTTTAGTTCTGACCTGTCACTAGTTTGCTATCCTCCCACCTCAGACTTTGTAGTACATGGATGGATTCAGCTATACATCACCATACCTAGCTAATTTTAAAGCATAAATCTGCGGTCTTTAGGTTTTTTCCTGATCATCTTAATTTTAAGTAAAAATCTTTTGGTAGGCAACTATGAATTGAATTTATCAAGGACACAGTTGTGCCATGAAATTTAATTAACATGAGTTTGCTATCCCAGAAGATCAGTGAGGCTTCTATCTACTAGGATATTCCACGAAAATTACAGCTACAATTAGGATGAGGTTTATCTATGAAACTAATCTCTGTTTTTGTTTATCCCACAATTACTAAGCTTGGCTGTACATATTCTTCTTCTCATCTTGGAAGACTTTAGTGACTAGTTTTAGGAAAAGAGAGAACTACCTATAATGGTAACAAAACAAAACAAAAACCTGAGGTATATTTCTAGTACCATTAGTGCTTTTAAATGTAATATGAATCCCTCATGTGAAAGATCATAGCTTTTCTGAAGCAAGCAAAATATAACATCTTGCTGATGGCATCACACTACAGGAAATAACAATTTTTCATTCAACAGACTTATTAGGACAAGTGTTTTTACATGACTTCAATTGACTAAACTTTTATAACAAAATGCCTAAGTGTGTTGATTGAACTTAAACATAATCACATATGCTTTTATATGCTTTTGTCTTGGTGAGCTTATCTCATCATACCTTCCCTCACTTACAGGGCCTTGGGAAAGGAAGGGAGAAGCTACAGGAAAGGCTATATTCCATGCTGGGTTTGGCATTTAAGTATTGGCAGTGTCTATGAATGAATCATTTGCTAGCTGTCTATTCACATATATATGTCCCCATGAAGGTTGACGCTACTGGTGTCCACTGATTGGAACCCAAGTTTCTCCGTGGGTTAGATATGCCCATATACTTTTCTAGAAACAGCCTTACAGTGCTACTAATATCAAGCAACGTGGTGTAAGTCATGTGTGCTATATCTACTGACCAAAACCAGATTAACCTGCCATTTACAGTGGTGTTAGGTGATAGAACTGCTTTTGGAATCATTTTTACAAAGTAAGAAAACATTTGTGCTTGCTAACATGTCAAATTGTCTCTTATTCCTTATATATGATGTAGCAACATTATCAGTTAAAGCCACAGCATAAGAAAAATCTTATTGGTTAATTGTATTTATTTTCATTTTTCCAAACATAAACTGCTGAAAATGCTTTATATATACTTGTTCTATTGTGTGTAATTGAAAATGTTGCTAGATATTTGTTAATAGGACGATTAGTGAGTATTCATCAACAACTGATGTTGTTGTAGAGATCAGATCATTTTCATTGAAATAAAACTCAAGTCACTTCAATTGGCATAAGAGTTTAATGAGGATGATCTCCAACACAGGGCAGGGGTCAGCCCTGAACACTGATGATCCATCTGCCTATCATTTTTATGATTGCTTTGTCCTTCAGGTTAAATAGGCACGGGAAAGAGTTATGAGAACTCATAAAGACTCTGGACTTTTGCGAAGACTAGCTATGTTAATGTGTATAAAGTGCTCAGGTAGAGCCAGGAATCTGTTTGGAATTCAGTAAATATCTTCTCTCCTCTACAAATAACATTTGTTTTGGCTGCTTTCATAGGCCGGAAGCACATGCTTCATCTTGCAAGTTAATTAACATAGAAGAAACAGTTTAGAAAATAGTAAATCCAACAGAAAAATACAATTTTTGGTAGTGCACTATATTTAGATCTCTAGACATGAAAGAGGAGCTTGAGAACTGAATGTCCGCACTGACATCAGATAATTGAAGCTGATAAATGGTCTAGAACTTGGGTTGTCCTCAGTTTCTTGGGTGTCCTCCTCGATCAAAATAAAGCCTTTCTGGATGAACAAACAATGTGGCTTTCTTTTCCTCTGACTAAAATTATACATTTTATTCAAAAAATACTAAAATAGCCTTCTTCCTCTGCCCTGCTTGGGGACACCAGAGGCCAGGGGGAGGCTCATGGTGGATTCCAATTTGGCAGGATCCAACACACCCAGAGATTGCCAAGGTCCTGGTACCAGTCCTGCCTCCATCTATGGGAAGAGGAGAGACATCAGAGTATTGGATCTGTTTGTACCTACCAGAAGGGAACCTTGGTCCCATACCCACCAGAAGAGGAAGAAACTCCTTCTACACCCACCAGAAGAAAGTATGAGAAGAAGACAATATAAAAACACATCCAACAACAGACAAACCAATATGACATTATTGGAGTTTAGGGACCCTACACCAGCAAGACCTGAACATCACAACACAGATGAAGCAGAAGAGAATCACCTTAAAAACATCTTCTTGAAAATGATAGAGGGCCTCAAAGAGGATATGAGAAAATTCCTTAAAGAAATGGAAGAAAAAAACCAAAAAAACATAAGAAATTAATAAATCTCTTAAGAAGCCAAGAAAATACAATCAAACAGCTGAAGGAAACAATTCATAAAGTTCAAGACCTGAAAACTGAAATGGAGACAATAAAGAAAACACAAACTTAGGGAATGCTGGAAATAGAAAAGTTGAGTAAACCATCAGGAACTACAGATGCAAGCATAACCAACAAAATGCAAGAGATGGAAGAGAGAATCTCAGGAGTTGAAGATACACTAGGAGAAATAGACTCATCGACCAAAGAAAATCTTGAGTCCAACAAATCCCTAACACAATATCAAGGAAATATGGGACAACTGTGAAAAGACCAAACCTAAGAATAATAGGTATAGAAAGAAGGTGAAGAAATCTAACTCAAAGGTGCAGAAAACATATTTAAAAAAATCATAGAAGAAACTTTCGCAACCGAAAAAAAGACTTGGCCAGTGAATGTACAAGAAGCCTACAGAACACCAAATAGAGTGGCCACAGAAAAGATCTCCTTGCCACATAATAATCAAAACCCCAAACTTACAGAATAAAGAAAGAATATTAAGAGCAGCAAGGGAAAAGAGTCAAGCAACATATAAAGGCAAACCTATCAGAATCACACCTGATTTTTCCATGGAAACTCCGAAAGCCAGAAGGTCCTGGATAGATATTCTACCTACACTAAGAGACCATGGATGCCAGCCCAGACTACTGTACCCAGCAAAGCTTTCAATCACTATAGATGGAAAAAACAATATATTCCATGAGAAAACCAGATTTAAACAATACATACCCACCAATCCAGCCCTAAGAAAGTTCTGGAAGGAATACTCCAACCCAAGAAAGTTAACTACAACCAGAAAAAATATAGGCAATAGATAATCCCACTTTACCAACAGTCAAAAGAAAAATGGGGTAGAAACCCACACAAAATTCCACCACCACCACCACCAAAAAAGAAAAAAAAAACAAACAAAAAACCCAAGAATGAAAAATCAATGGTCATTAATATCCCTCAATATTAATACTCTTAACTCGCCTATAAAAAGACACAAGGTAGCAGAATGGATAAGCAACAGAGGAAAGGCTACCTTAAATGCCCTTGCCTGATAATGAGGTTGATGATTAAATCATATGCCATCGTATAGCCTTCATCCAGTAGCTGGTGGAAGTAGAAGCAGACACCCACAGTAAACCTTGAACTGAACTAAAATCCAGATGCAGAAAAGGAGGACTGATGAGTAAAGGGGTCCATACCAGGCTGGTGAAACCCACAGCAACAGCTGACCCGAACAAGGGAGAACTCTTGGTCCCCAGATTGATAGCTGGGAAACCAGCATGGGACTGATCCA